CTTAACCTCCCCATTTATGTTAATTAGACGTATCCTCCCCTTGCCCCCAGCCAGCCCTGCGGAATCTGTCGTCTTCCTGTTGCTGTGTATCACAACCTGGTGTGGCTCTACATTAGTTCTGCTTGGTAGGCTTTCAGGAAACCCAGACCAGCGTGAGAACGTCACAGCCGTGGACCGGTGCATCTTAGGCGAAGATCTTTTCCATCCAGAAGGTGACCTCTCAACCTCAGTTCCATTTTCTCGGGGGTGGGGGGGGGGCATTCATTTCTATTTTATTACAGGCCACAGTGGAGATGGTTGTGCAAAGCCCCTTTGGGAGACACTGCCTGTGTGGCGTTTGTGCAGACTGTTTTTTAGGGTTCTGTGCTGCTAATGTTCCCAATATTGGATTTGTTTTGGTGATGGATCTCTGGACCTTCTAATTGAGATGGAGAGTGAGACGGCAGCGACTCTTGAATCTGTCTGTCTCGCCTTCTGGAAAGGTGGCGGCTTCCAGGATCATCTTTAGGGGGTTTTACTGTTTAGTCATGAGATGTTTCATTGGTTTAAATGCTGAAGGAGTGCTCTGAATGTGGCTAGGAAGTACAGACTTCCTGAAGCTTCTCTCCTTGGTAAGATATTTTGGATACGGGCACCAGAATCCACTTAGACTTTATTAAAGTTCTACTAAACCAGTTGTTTCTGGTGTCCCACCCCCTGTCCAAATGTTTTCATTCCAGCCCACACTGCTTTTGACCTGCCACATTCAGTACTAGCCTATTAAGGACCATGTAAGCCTGATTAAGGTAGGGTTGGAATGAAGACATTCTCGGGTGGGGGGGGGGGGCACCAGCAACTGGATTGAGAACCACTGTACTAAACAAACTGACATGGCAGCTTCACTGCCTGTGTCCTCGTCCCCAAAGCTTTTGACCTGAAATTTTGTGTTTCAATTGAAGGCAGCTTTTCCTGAGATGTATCTTGTATAATATCTGTAAGCATAATACAGGAACCTCACGGTGGATTTTGAGTTTCCAAAGCGATACGGCCATTTGCGATACTGCTTTCTCATCTTTAGGATAGTCAAAAAGCAGTGATGTCTCTAAATGTGTGGTTCGGTGTGCTGGAGTCTAGCTGAGGGCTTGCTGTGCTTTGGAAGGATCTCACCCTAAGTAACTGTGATCTCCTCCCTTCAGAAAGGCTATTATTCAGCAAAGAGAAAAATCCCTGATCTCAGACCGTTCCCACAGAAGAGCTATGAGCGCTGCATTTCTTCAGGTGACTCAGAGAGGCACAGTTTAAGTTTACAGAAACCCAAATGGGCCGCAGACAAGGTCAGCCTTGAGGGATGCTTTAATATTAGTTACTGATTTGACAAAACAAGGCTTTGAATAGAAACTAGTTGGGGACCGTTTTAGATCAGAACACAGAGAACATTTTCACAAAGGCTGCTCATCGGTAGAGTAGTGGACGAACTGTCCTCAGACTCATGCCAGGATTTTTAATATCAACACATTGTGTCAGTAATTTTATTCAGCCCAATTACGTGATTATAAAAATTGTAAAACCTTTTCTTTTTGAGTCACCCCTCAAAAAAGCCTCATTCCTGTCCAAATGGCAAGCAGGTCAGTGTGATAGAGGGGTGTCAGCACATAACGGGCACTTTATTAGGGTGCTGGGGTTTTAACCAACACACCCGAATGACAGCTGTTTCAGATTTAGCAAAGCGGGAAGCTAGACTCCGCCCTTGAAGCTTGATGAAGCTTGATGGAGCTTGTGGTCTGCACAGGAGGCTGCTTCATACTGCGGAGTACAGGTGAAATGCACTTCCATGAGTGACAAACAGTTGTACTCCATGTAACCAAGGAGACGATTGTGCTCAGATTCCTGTTTCGCGGAGTGGGGTGTACTTTATCGATAGCAACGTTTTATTAGTGTTTTTGACCATTTTAACCCATTTTAACTTATGCATTGCTTGTGTGATGCATTTTAGCTCTTGAAGGGTGTCACCAAGGGTGTGACAATGGCGGGATGAAGGGAGCTGGCGGTGCGGGAGTGCCCTTGGGTTGAGTGGGGACGGGTCTTCCCCTGACTGCTGAAGGCGATGGCTGATAAGGGTGCT